TCATCAACATCTTAACAGCCATGGGTAAATACCACACTAAATGTTGAATCAGCCAAGAAGTATTTCCTTTTTCAACACCGAGACTTGAAAATGTTTTCAGCATACCTTATTTTGATGTTTATTAGGTAAAGAATAATAATATTTTGGAGAGTAATGATTTCCAAAGTAATTATAGTGTCAAATTGTTTCAGACTCATTCTTCACCATAATTCACAAACCTGAATATGTTTTAATGAGATAAATGGGGAATAACTATAGGAAAAAATTACTCCTTCAACTGAGTTTTAAATTAAAAAACAAACAACAAAAGAACAGCATACAGTTCCTAAGAAATTTCAAGACAACTTCAGTAAATACAACTGTCATTTATACTTTACACTAAACTACGGTCATGGTACTTCTTGTAAAACCTCTTCAAAGGCTCACTTGAAAAAAAAAAAAAAAAAAAAAAAAGAGAAAAGCACGAATTCAGATTCCTAAAGAAAATGTGAACCAAACACAATCCAGAAAACTGAAATGCCATACTCACCTTGCACCACAGAAGAGAGAAAGAAGCTATGAAGCACTCACAAGTGCTTACAGCCCCTTTGTGTAAAACTAGTCGAAGCATGGAGGAGACATCTGCAATATCCCTTCCATTCCTGTTAGCTTCCCTTATCACTAGGGACACCCCTCGTCCCACCACAAGTTGCCCTCCCCAAGCCCCTCAGCCAGGCAGGACAAAGTCAGAGCAGCAGAAACTTGCACAAGGAGGGTCAGCAGCAGACACCAAACAGCTTTAAATGGTTCAACACGTACCTTGTGCCAGAAAGAGGGCACTAACTGAAGGTGTAGCCATCAGCTACCAAGATATCAGACTTGGGGGAAGAAAGAGGCGAGCATTCATCTTCCACCCTAATTCCATCCAGGACAGAGGAAGGACGGCTCATAAACATTTATGATTTGGACAATTAATACACTCCCAGGTGCCAAAGCATGCAAAGATATGAGGTAATAAATTGTGCACTGCTGGCCAATCCTGCCCAATTAGCCTGCAACGTTTGGGAAGCAGCAAATTTTGTGTCCAGAGAGGGCTTACGAAGCTGGTGAAGGGCCTGGAGCACAAGTCCTGTGAGGAGCAGCTGAGGGAACTGGGGTTGTTCAGTCTGGAGAAGAGGAGACTCAGGGGAGACCTTATTGCTTATTACATCAAAGGAGACTATAATGAGGTGGGGGTCAGTTTCTTCTCCCAAGCAAGAAGCCACAGGACAAGAGGAAATGGCTTCAGGTTGAACCAGGGGAGGTTTAGGTTGGATATTAGGAAAAAATTCTTTACTGAAAGGGTTGATAGTCATTGGAGCGGGCTGCCCAGGGAAGTGGTAGTGTCACCATCCCTGGAGATATTTAAAAGACATGTGGATAAGGTGCTAAGGGACGTGGTTTAGTGGTGGGCTTGGCAGTGCTTGGTTCACGGCTGGAAGAGATCTCCAAGATCATCAAGTCCAACCTCAATGCTTCTGTGACTCTTCAGCGCCAAACCCCAGTCAACTCTGCAAAACTCAACTAAAGACCAATAAAACACAGGATTTCTGCTTTTGTTTTCATAGAAAACCATCCTGGAAAAAACAAAAACAAACAAAAAAACCACACACATTTGGTTGTATTTTTGCACAACCGCTCACACCAGTGATGCGACGCTCCAAATACCAAGAAATTCCCCAAGCCTGCAGTGACCCCTGGGCAGCCACCTACTCCAACACAGACAAGATCAGCAACCATAACACACAGTCCTAGAGCAGAGCACGGGATCCGTGACAGGGAAATTACAGGCTCCAACAGAGCAGAATTGCAAGTAACCCTTGACTTGAGCGCTTCTCTTCACAGCAAGTTCCTAAATAAGTTTCCTGCTCAGGCAATAAGCAGGATTCAATCTTGATCAGTGTGATAAATAAAATGTTATTTGTTCATCCTCCTGCCTATATTTCAGTACTTCTCATAGTCCAAAGCATCTCCACTTATGGGACAAAAGGCCTCCCCTAAATGCTAACAGAATCTCCTTCCATCTCTTTACTCTTCCATCTTAGCTCTCTTCTCATTTATTTCTTAAACATCTACCTGAAAATTCCCTTGAAAAAATAGTTTAACCATCACCGATTTAAAGACATTTATGCTGTCGAGACCCTTGAGTGGCACTCACTACCCACTCGTTTTGCAGGATACACATTCAAATGCCAATTCTGTTAATTATTTCAGAGCTCACCTGTAGAAGGAGAGAGGAGGAACAATACCGTGAAATTCGCACTAAACATCTCAAGTTTGGATTGGACTTTTAATACTGCTGTGCAGCAGAGTAGCTGAGCACAAATTGCTCCATTTTAACACAGGCAAATTGGTTTTCAGCAGTTCAGAAAATACTCCTAAGTTGCTTTGTGTTTTTTCTCTCTCAGTTATACTATGCGTAAGACAACTAAGAAAAGTATTAACAAAAGACATTATGCACAGTAACACATTAAGTTGTCAAGAATGGAAAAATTCTTACACAGTTACTGTCTCTTTGGCTAGTGAGCATCATTTCTATGCGCTGGGCAGCTGAAGAGAGTGATCTGCTAAATCTGTATGCCAAAAGTGCGAGACGGGACAGAGCACAAGTCCCCACTGACCACTGACACATACTTGCTGGACAGAAACTGCTTATCAAAGGTGAATGTTGACCTCCTAGCAGCGTGCTGAATTAGCAAAGCTGTCAAAGAGGCAATGTGGGATCCCAGAGGACCACAAGCTCCCCAGGGCCCGCAGGGTTTTCCCCAGCTGCTCTTCCCCAGATCCCTGCCCACAGGGGTGTCATGGCCAAGGGAGTCACGGAGCGCAGGAGGAGTGGGAGAAGGCTAGGCAAAAGTAGCTTTTCATTTTCCACAGCTTCTGCTGTGCTTCTTCCTCTTAGCGAAGCCTTCCTCGAGGTCTCACTTCTGCTTTCTCCACGTGCCCAGCGGATTGCACGTGTCTGCGGTGCCCGGGACAAAAAGCACTCGCATGGGATCTCCCAACCTCTTCCACACTTCTCTCTACATGCAGCTTTTATTCTGTCTTCCTGCCATCTACAATGCTAAAATAATTAAAGCAATGATTCTTTTACTTTGGGTAAGCTCGTTTAGAATGCTCTATTCCTAAAGCCATGACAAATGGACTCTCTCATTACTTCAACAAACAATTGATGGACTGTTACTATCACTTGATAATACATAACATGAAATAAATATAGCACGAAGATCTCAAGGAGAAAATTGTTTTATCTAAATAAAAAGAGAATATTCTTGTAACACTTGGGCATGATAGCATAATTCAGACAGCCTGCAGTAATACACCAAAGCAGCAACATCACTGTTAGCTCTTTCGAAACTGGAAAAGCAACAAATCTTAACATCAAGAATAGTATCAGTGTAGTTGCTTTCTGAATTCTTATACTGTGGAACTGTAATAAATATTATAAAGCAACTTTCTATGCATGATTGATAAACTTTTCAGAAGGCAGAAACATCATCTTGTCTGTTCGGACAGCCTAAGGGGGAAGGGGAGGGAGGGGGGAACTTCCATAATCCTTTGTAATACAAGTTTTCTCTACTTCATCTCCAAAAAATTTCAAGAAAACGGTCTAGTTTAATTACATGAATAATCCAGAGGGAGCACAAACACTGTTTGAATTCTTGGTGAATGACACAAGCCTGAATAAAATACTAACAACAACAACAACAAAATCCATCGTCTTGGCTCTGGAAATTTGTTTCAGTGTAAAAAATGGTATTTTACAAGCTCAAAGAACACAAGACCATTCACCTTCCTCCACCCCCCTAATAAACAAACATGGAAACCTGGTTACTTCATTCAGATTAAGAAAATATGCAAACATATATACCTTACCCTAACACAAACCACAGATGGTGATAAAGCAGACTTTGCAAATCACATTCCCTCATGTTCAGCAGTGACACTTGTTAGTTGATTTAATAATTTTCATTAATAAATCCGCACAATAACAGTAAAGTGCATCTGAATAAAAGATTTTTAACGTAAGAATGTGTACATTTCAAGTACTCCACCATATCTGGCTTTTTCAAGAGCCATTTCTGGAAAAATGACTATGTTTTTGCATTGTGCACTTGAGACCATTTGCACCGCTTGGAAATAAAATGCTTTTATAACACATCCCTGAGACTCAGTAGTCAAATGCTGGTATAACAAAGCACAGCTAGGTATTCCTTCCTAGCTGGAAATACCCCAAACAGCCCACATTCTTAGCCGTAATTTCAAGGTACTTAAAAAGAAAGCAGAAAGAACTCTGCAACAAACCCAGCCAGGTATTTTAGCCAAGTGGCTTCTACCTTTCTGTAGCCTCTCACTTGCAATGACATATACTAAACATGCATAAATTAGGGTTTAGTAAAGTTTAAAAGAGTGAAGATGCTACTAGAAAAGACAAGAGCAATTCAGAAAGGACAGTGACGGCCCTCTGCTAGTGAGGGAGAACCACTCTACAACAGTACACTACATCTCATGACGCAGTGTTTAAGCACAGTGACTTTAAAGAACATCTGAGGAGAGCCGAAGAGAGCCGAAGAAAAGCCGTCTGATCTAAAGGAGGCACAATTTCAGATGAGAAAAAACACAACGACCAGCACAAAGGCCACCAAATACCCCCTTCTATGTTTCACCGTGTGATTATAGTTTAGTCGCGTAAGTCAAAACATGCATGTTAAAATTCTCAGAGTTCATAAGCCTTGCTGTCAGTCCCAATTTCTGTGAGCTCAGTCAGCCATCAAGGAGCCTAGGAAATGACACAAGCTCATCAGAGCTCAGCTTCCTTACTTCATTTAAGGTTACGCTCGCTGGCTGACTGTAATAAAACCATATACCGAGAGATCCTCTGCAATCTTTTCAGAGCCAAATTCAACTGTCAAAGCGTACCTCATAAAAAGCTGTGTTTGAAAATCAACCAAACCGCAGAAAAAGAATGTAGGAAACTTTACCTTAATCGGAGCACGGCTGAACTGTATTTTTCTGTTGGCTGGGATTTCGTCTTCATCTGGCAATCCATTAATTTCAGAGTATTCCATATCAGGCTCGTAACAGTTATTTTCATCACTGTCATCCTGATCATCCTGTTCGGTACCTGTCTCTCCCCAGTCCGAGTTATACCTCGATCGTACCCTATACACATTGTAGTCAGAGTGCATGTACACATGGGAACTCTGGAAATTATTCACATCTTCATGCACTTCTTTTTCACTTGCATCATCATAATGGGTCTCGGTGGCATCCGAAACGGCATCTGCTGCTAAATCTGAAACTAAATTTCTCGGTGTTTCTGCAGCTTCAGGCCTATCAGCGATGCCCTCTGCATGTTCTGACAGTTCCTTTGGTCGCAAGGCAATTTCTGCGTCTGTTTTTGACTTACTCCTCGCAGAACTGTCCACACATCTTTCGCTGTCAAGTACCAACTCCTGTTGACTCCCCACGGAGCTCTCACCAGGGTCAGCACTTGCTTCTGCATTCTTTTTTATTTCTTCAGTGGTTTTTGAACCTGACGGCGTGCCTGTAGACACCTTCTGTCGCGGTGCTGACGGCGCGCTATTCTGCTGAGAGTGCTCAACAGACATGGGGCCTGCAGCCGCTTTGGCTGGCGGAGACCACGTGCTGGCATCCTTCAGAGGACTGAAGCCCTCGAGGTTTGCAACAGGGGAGGAGATATTTGCGACAGTGGAGGAGAGGTTTAGCGGGTAGTGACCAGTTACCGAGTACTCTTCGTTGTTCTCTGCCTTTTCCAGAACGATTACGTTGTGTGCGTCAGCGTTCTCAAACACGGCGCTGAGCTGACTCACCGTTGGGGAGACGGTCTCAGTCCTGGGGCTCAGGCTGTCCAGGGAATCGGTGCTGCCCCTGTGAGACTTGGAGCTGCACCACTCATCCGCGAGCTCGGTGGACGCCGCTTTCTCTTTCTTTGGGGAATAGCGATTGGAGGGGCCCGTCTCGTGAGCGTTTCGCTCAAACATCTTCCGAGTTTCAGTAAACTTGGAGTAAGAAGGGCCATCGTGGATAGTATCGAACCTACTAATCCTTTCCGAAACGGAAGATTCCAACTTTACAATTGAACCGTCTGTTTTTTCTACAAATTCTTTGGGCCTGATTCGTCTTTGAGGCGATGGAGGGCCACCCTTCCCCCTGGTTTTGGGGGCAACTCCAGCGCTCTCCGTGGGCTCCATGCCCATCTGCATAAACAAGTTCTTAATCCTATTGACATTTGAGCCATATTTCCTTCCCCTGCTCTGAGAGGCCTCTCCTTCCTCTTTCGTTTTTTGGTCTCCATCTGATTTCGGTTTGTCAAAGGTGCTTTTCAGCGCCTGGAACTCAGTCCTGTAAGCATTCCTGTGAGGAGAGGCACTCCGGAGGGTCGACCTCTCTCCCGAGGACTCCGTTTTCATCATGTTTACTTCAGGGCTGCAAAACCAGCTCACATAGTTTCCCCGGTGCCGCTCTCAGTCAGCTGCTACAACCGAGATCCTGCTCGGGAAGGGTTTTCCTCAGGAGGCAGTGCCCTGCAGCGGGGCCATCCTCGGGAGAAGCTCTGGAGGCAGGTCCCTAAGCACACGCAGGACGGAGGGCTTCGGAGGGCAGCAGCAGCAGCTTCAACCTGCAACAGAAAGCAGGGGTCCCTGAACCGGCAGGCACTTGCGCTTCCCTAAATCTCAGCCCTGATTTCCCTTCACGGTTATTCGACAGATTTTACAAAAGAAGCGGAAAAAAAATAATAAAATAAAATAAAATAAAATGCCAATCTCACGCTACACCGACACGTGGAAACTTGTCAGCCCAAAACTTTTGCACGCTGAGACATTTGCGAGCCGGGGGGGCATCGCTCCGCAGTGCCCGGCTCACAAAGAAGGACGGTGCCACGGGCAGGCAAGCAGAGGCAGCACGGAAACGCTCCTCCTGACAGCGAATTTTTCCCAAAAATTAAAAAAAAAAAAAAAAAAGCCACGAACGCCCGAGTTACTCACGAATAACCATGGCAATGCGCGCATCGAGCGAGATGGAGAGATTCATGCAAGCGCGGCGGCTCCGCTTCCCCAGCTCTCTCCGGGAAATGGTAGCGGTGCCATCAAAGGCGAGGCTCTCCCCCCCAAAAAAAACGGGGCTGGCAGCTCGGGGAGCTGCACCCAAACTCCCCGCAGCAGCCGCAGAAAGGAGCCGGGGTCGCGGCCGCCCCCGGAGCCCATCCCGGTGCCTGCGGGGCTCCGTCCCCGTCCCCGTCCCCCCCCCCCGCCGCCCATTTCCTCGCCCCCGCTGTGCCGCTGGCTGCGGGCAGCCAAGTTCAGCCCCGGAGCCCCCCGCACAGCCGCAGCGCTCCCCTCCCGCACCGCCAGCACCTTGCGGCGGGGCCCCGGGGAACAAAAGCCCGGTGCTGAGGGGCTCTCCCCCGCTGCCTTACCCGGCCGCCCGCTCCTCCTCCTCCTCCTCCACCTCCTCGGCGGCTCTGCGGAGAGCTGACGGCAGCCGCCAGCCGCCCCAACGCCATTGCAGGCGGCCGGGGCCGCCGAGCGGGGGGGGAGGAAGAGGAGGAGGAGGAGGAAGGAGGAGGAGGAGGAGAAGCCGCCGCGCCCCGCCGCAGCCGCCCCCTTCCCTCCCTGCCTCCCTTCGCCTGGCACGGCTCGGCCCGGCCGCTGACAGGTGCCTCACCTCCGGGGCTAGGGAGAAAGAGCGAGGCAGCAGGCGGCCGGCAGCCCTGCCGGGTGGGCACCGCCGCCCTCAGCTCCCCCCGCCCCCGGCCAGGCTCGGAGCCGGGGTGCGCAGGGCGAGGAGGGGAAGGCTGCGGGGCGGGAGGGGCGGCTGTGGAGCCGGCCGCCTTCCCTCGCCGCTGCGCCCAGCCAGCCACTGAACCCTGCCGACACGCAGGGGAAATGCGGCCGCAGCGCTCAGCAGCTGCTGGAGGGGACAGGAGGGACAAGGGGGACGTGTGGGGGACCGGGCAACTCACAGCTGGCGGCCCGCCCATAACCTGCTGGCCCCCCATCACCCACAGGGAGCCTCTAGGTGATGGGTAAAACCGGCAGGTAATCGCCTAGCGACTCCCAGGGAAAGTTCATTAAGCTAATTGCAGGGAAACGGCCTGGAAAAGTAGTTGCGTAAACATCCGGAAAAAAAAATAATAAAAAAAAATATATATTTTTTTTAAAAAGGCCTGGAGATGTGCGAATTGTGCAAAATAATTATTAGGCAGACGGAATGATGGAGGTGCCAGGGACTGCAAATGAAGACATCGGGTGTACAGCCCTACAGACTTAATTCATTAGCTTAATGAGACTGAAGCATGGCGGCTACACCCTTAAGTGCTCACAGGTGTCGGTCTCTGGTTAATCTAATTGGCACCAAGGGTGTGCAGCTCAAAATGTTCCCCTCCATATCCAGCACGCTGAAATTGACAGGAAAGCTGCGAACCTTTTAATCGTGGGCTGTGGCTTGGCTTCCCTTGGGATGCAAGGAGAGGGGCAGGGCAAGAAGCCAGGGGGTGTCCACTGCCCTGGGGGCTGCTGAAGCATCGCCATGGCATGGCAGAAGGGTGAGGGAACGCTGGTTTCACAGGCTTCTTGTGGTGAGGAGACCTGTGGTGGTTGCCTGCACCAGCACGAGAACTATTTCAACTCACCAGGATACCCCCTGTTAAATGCCAAAGCATCAGAGAGTACCGCAGATCTGAGGATCCTGGCAGGGCCCTTCTGTTGGTGTGATTTTGTAGCAAAAAGCCTGTAAGAATACCAAGAGAGCTGCTTGACTCTTGAAGAGACAGAGAACTTCAAGTCTCCTTGAAGAGGAATAGGGACACAGAGCAGAAATTTGAACATTTTGTTTCCTTTGTGATTTTATACTGAATATGCAGAGTGCTTGAAGATCTTAGCATGTACAAGATGTGTATCTGGAAGAGTTTTATAATTTACATTCACAAGCAAAAAAAGTGACACAAGCAAACACTAAATGAGATGAAATAATTGAAGCAATTTTAAAAAGACTAATTAGCACCTAATTATGTAAAGATATCCACGACCATAAATGTTGTTTAAATTATTTTTACAGTAGAAATTTGGCAAACAAAATGGACATTTCTCCCCTCCTAATAAATATTTTTAACAATGTACCCAAGAAAACATTCATATTATTTCATGGCAGAATAGTGCAAACTCTATGCTATGTCCTGGTGGAAAGCAGGGAAACTTGCTGATGCTCGCAGCAGGAGCATAAAATAGATACCAAGCTTTCCATGATGAGAAAGATTAAATATTACATTTTGGTTCTTCTTAAATGTGTTGTAAATAGGCAGCGTAGCAGTTCAAGCAGACACTACCCAGCTTTCACACAGAATCCAATGCAAAATTATTTTAAGTAATGTTATGTTCCACCAATGCCACCTCATGATCACAACCACCAAGACTTGTAGAAACTACTGGCATTTTTGGCTGCTCAGTCAGAGACCATTTGGACCTTATTTAGGGGCTCCGACTTTGGCCAGGGACATCTAAGCTATTCACACACATGAATCACTTACAAAATGTTTTTCAATCCCATCCTTATTTACCTAGTGTCTATGTTAAAGAGCATTAATGTAGTCTCAAGGATAATGAACTGTATTTTGTTTTGATTAGAACATCACTTTCCAAGAGAGACTCTTCATATGTGAGCGTGGCCTTGCACCTAACTATAAAAATCACAGTTGTGTGTCCTTTTACATTTTCAGTATTTCTGTGACAATCCGTTTAACTAGAAGGTATTTTTAGATTCTGCTAAAGCATGACTGACATTTCTGTTAATTCCTGAGGAACACTAAAATGCTGCACAGCATACTTTGGGGAAGATAAGAGACCAAGGTCCTCCTTTTATGTTAGTATAAATTCAGACTAACTTCACTGAAGTTACAGAATTACTTGGCTTGCCAACCAGTGCAAATTTAAAACCTGTTCGGTTCAGTATCTACCTATGCTAGAAAATGGCTAGAGTCATTTTACTTGCGCCAGAGTAACAACTCCATTCAAACGATCATGAATTTGCGGATATGACAGGAAGAGAGACCCCAGCTGTTTAACCTGACAGCATCACTTTAAATTGCACTCGGTATCTTTTCAAACCAGTTTTTACACAGTCCTCCAAGACTGAAAATAATTGATCTCCAGTTTATTTTAGATGTGTGAATTATATTTACTTACAAACATGACTATTTGGATGTCATTGATGGGTTTTGAGTCACTTTGGTGCTTCTAAGCTACTCAGGTTTTGAGATAACAATTTATTCACGCAGCAGAGTGGCAATCCAAGTTTTTCTACGTGGCTCAGGCAAAAGAAGAAAGTCATTCCATCATCCATCTCCTGTCAATGTCTTTCAAGTCCTGAAAGATAATATCTGTATTCACGGGAGTAAATGGAAACTATTTCCCTCCTCTGATCTTTGGCTAAGAAAGCCCCTATCTGCTATCCCACCAGGCCACTGCACAGGAGGATCGACTTCCTTATACATATCACAGCATAAGCAGAATTGAATTCTATTTTTAACACTCAGACATGATTTTTTATTATATAATCTACTTTAAAGAAAAAGAACAATATATATTTATATATATAAAAACATAGACAATATATATATACATTTTGGAAGATAAGGTAAGTTCAAGTTAGGGTAGACCCTACAAGAGTAGCACCAGACTAAATTGAACAACAAACAGCTGCAGTAAGGATTTGATAAGCTTTAATTTCAAATATTTACAATGTGTTACTGCACTAGGTGTAATTCTTCTCCATAGGAAGGCATTAATAGTTAAAAATGGGAGCTCATTAATACCGCTAATTTGGCAAGAAGATTGTGCTGTTTTTACATAGAACATGTCAAGCTACTTGAAAGCTCAAGAATAGAGTCAAAAAAAATTAAAAAGAACTTTGTCCTGAATGAGCTGAAGAAAACCAGAGGTAATGATAACAAAACTGCATATTCTAGCAGTTTATCAGAAAGGCAAATATTAGCATTATGAGGGCCTAAACTCAGACTAGTAATAGCCTTTTCTCAGTTGCAGTGAGGAGACCATCACATCCAGTCTCAAACATTCCACTTTTAAACCATTTAAGAAATGTAGAGTTATGGCTAGAACACAAAATGGAATTTTCAGAAGGGAAAGATGTGAATTGCACTCTGTGTGCAACTAGTTATTGTTGAAATAGTGGTTTTGTCAATATTAAAAGCTAGAAATCTTAGGAATGCTCAAAAGAGCTGTGTTTTGAGGTATGCAGCCTCCTAACACAGACTCTCAATGCTGAACTCTGAATTTTCAGCACAACACTGAAAATTATCAGTTACCAGCCTAGCTAGATTGATGCCAGCTAGTTGCAGAAAATACACGATCTCACGGCAAAAGAAAAGACTACATGTTCGGTCTGCTAGGAGCTTACTAAGAGCCAAACCCTGGCAAAGCTTCATGTTAGGCTCTTTGGGTGGAGAAAATATTAGAAGACTTTCCAGAAAACAGATATTTGACAGAATGAGTAAGATACTTATTTTGGTATGGTGAATGGTACCTGTACACACACTTCGATTCATCAGACAAGAATCATATGTAGGTACATGGCATAGAGAACTCTGTCTCCGTACCAGCATCAGCAAGAAAGAGTCAGAGCTGGAAAAGTTAGTGCTCTAAGAGATCCAAACCAGGATGGCTGAAATCTCACATATTCTTTGTTTACATCAAAATCTCACAGACCTCACTTATCTTTACAAATCTCACATATTCTTTGTTTACAACGTAGAATTGTTCAAGGCCAGGCTGGATGGGGCTTTGGGCAGCCCTGGTCTGGTGGGAGGTGTCCCTGCCCATGGCAGGGGGGTTGGGAGTAGGTGGTCTTTAAGGTCCCTTCCAACCCAAACCATTCAGGTGATTCTCTGTGTCTGTGATTCTAAATAAGGTGGTTATATTTTCCATAAGTGTCCCAGTCGATTAATCAGAAGCAGAAATAATAGATTGTTGGGAGCCTCATAATAATTTCATGATTAATATTGTTTCTTAAGGTACACACTTTCTTATTATAATAAAATCATTTTTCTGTTGAAAAGAAAAATTTTCTTGACAGAATCTAGAATAAGGAAAATAATTGGGTTTGTCAGTCTGTGCAAAAGCATTATCTCAGAGTGTTTCTTGTGCGGTAAGTATCCCCTATTATTCTTAAAGAAAGAGCACTTAGTGAGCCAGAGGAAAATTGGGAGAACAGGGAGAAGTACACCGGATGCTCAGAGCTTACAAGTGTACTTGATACAATATAACACACAAGTAAATCTGATTACTGAGTTCAGTAATCATTACCTTGCCTAATCAGATAATGTTTTGTGCCATGAGGAAGAAAAGACGGCAATTTTAGCTTTCATTTTTTCCAAGTGACTGACCATTCAAATTTAGTTGTACTTTGGAGCCTTCTCTCATTCTGGAAACAGCAACAGATGACTTCTCAGAGAGGGAAACAGAGGCTGGAGTTCATAAAATGCAGCACAACAGTGCTGCCTCGCAGTGTGAAATCCCTTGGCAAGCAGGAAAAATATTTGTCTGGATTGCTCCACCCTGAAGCTGATGAATATGCCTGGATTGGGGCTCACATTGTAAATAACCCATCTCAAGCTGTCCAGGTAACATTGATCTGGCTGCATTCTAGATGTATCTGTTTCACCTTTTTCTTTTTAAAAACAGCAATTAAAAAAAAAAAAAAAAAAAAAAGGCAAAACAAAAACCACACTGCTGTTTAGCTAAGAACAGTCATCTACTATTTCTAGACTGTACAACAAAACACAGCTTTCCCATACCTCAGTTACCTGCCACATACTTGGATTGCATTTCCCCCTGCCTTACAGGTACTGTCTTGCTAATACATCCTCAGTGGAAATACTCTCTCAAAGCTAGATTTGGTAATCAGTTTAATTTAGTGCA